GCCCTGTTTCCCCTTTCAATTGCAATTCAGTCAATTCTAAAGTGAAATGGTTCTGATAAATTTTGATGTTTTTCCCTTTTTTTTTGTTAATTCCATGCCTTGTTTCCCCTTTCAATTGAAATTCAGTTAATTCTAAAGTGAAAACTGCTTATTTTTGTGGTTAATTCCGCTCTGTCCCAGCGTCCCTGGTTTGCCCCATTTCAATTTCAATTCAGTCATTCTAAACTTGCCGGCTGGCCGCAACTGCGAGCCCCTTTGCTGTGCACCCTCAGCATCAACAGACCTTGAGCTATGGCAATCGGAAAGTCTGCATTGGGTGGCGTTGGATGAGCAGAGAAGACGAGAAGCACCAAGATGCTATCAGTATCAGGCAAAGAGAAATCGGCTAGTACCTAGCAAGCCAGTGGAAAAATCGCTCACTAGCTTGCACATCCGGAGTCCATTCGTTCAGAACGTTCAGTTATTCCGAAATGCACATGGATCTGAACGTGGAAATGGAGGTGGGATATATACAGCAGTTGAAAAGATTGTTTTTTATAATACTGTCAAAATCTCAAAGTACCTTTCTACTTACTGCACTAAAGTTACTTGTTCTCCTGTCAGCTGCATAGTTCAGAACAAATGGCTGCTCCATTTCAGTTAGTAAGAACTAAGAAGTCAGCTGCATGATGACCTGTTCAATTTTCAATTGGCAATAAAAAATTCATTTTTTTTTCATAAACAGGTTGCGATGTATGGCTGGGAAAACATAGGAGGGTAATTCCTCAGTAAAATTGGAAACTCACACATACCAGCACTGATTCTAGACTTTCCCCCCCCCTTAACTCTAACTCTTCTATGCCATATTTCCTAGCAGCAGAGCAACGATCTCATTAAACTGAACTGATCTAGACATGAATGGCTCACAGCCTCACACCGCACTAATCTCTTCTTCATGATCTTTCTGTGTGAAGGCATCGAGCAGGTAGTAGCCTCTGTACATCAGTTTTCTCAAGATATTCATTTATTTGGTTTGACGAAGCATTGCTTGGTCTGTGATGATGCACCTCTGCTCTGCCTCCTATCAATCAACAGCAGAGAAATCCAGAAGCATGTTCATCCATTGTGAATTGCAGAGATGACTATGTCCATTGTGGACATATTATGATTATTATTACAAGATGATGCAACAGGCTGCAAATGGCCTTTGAATGAAGAGTTATATAGTGTAAAGTCCTTCTCCTTTGTAGGTGGTGCATTATCTTCCTTTTTCTCTGACTAAATCTCCCACAGAGCTGTATATATGGTCCGCATCTATTGTCAGCGTCTACTATTCTTTGACATCAAAGAGGAACGAAGAAAGTCAACCAGAACAATCATAGCAAAATGTGTTCTTGGACTATGACTAGACTGGACTCACCTTGCATGACCTGCACAAGTATTGTTGTTCTTAAAACGTTCTTGCTCTCCTTTCATTCAGAGACACATCTCATGCCATTCCACAACTGACAACTCGCTGGTCATTTTCTCCTCCACCTGCTACCAATGGAGATTCTCCTTTCTGTGATTCTGGGGGAGCTGACCACTCGATCCATAAATTTCCTCATCAGTAAATGCTCAAAGCCGTCAGCGCTGGAACTGGAGGATCGCCTCTGCAGAGTTCTGTGTGACTTTGATATGACATTACCTGTTTTTGATATATATGCACGAAAATTGCTAGCCGTTCGTTGGTGCACGGTGCATCACCTATTGTTTTTTTTCCCAATATAAGGGATTCGGCCATTTGGATTTTCCCCCTTTTCATATGTGCACCGACGGAGAAGCTAAGTGCGCTCGCTTTTCCTTTTTTTTTCCAAGATCAAGGGATTCAATAGTTTTTATTTCTTATTCTTATTTTTTTATTTTTTTAACTTATAAAATCTAAAAAATCAATGACTTAGATTTGTTGGAGCTATTACCCCTTGCTGGGCTGCATAGCGAGCTCGCTAAATTTGTCGGTGTAATCTAACAATTGGTCTCAGAGCCATGGTTGAAAAACAACTTGTAACATCTTGGGGGTCATATGGTGATCAAAGAGCCCGTGAACCCATCTTTGATGGGTCACAAAGGTTATGTGTGACACACATAGTTACTAGTATTTTGGGTTGAGACATGCCTTTGAGAAGCTGTCGCCAATGGAGAATGAAGGTGTGGTGTGTGCTTTCATTTTGTAAATGCAAACCGAAGTTGTCTTTATGATCAAGGCCTCTTCTTAATTATTTGATCAAGATTAGAAATGATGAAAGAAAATGAGTTCATAGATGGTGATGGCTCCGGGTCCATAAGCCAAGGCTCGAAAGTCTTAAGAGACGTGCCTTTCTCATCTAGAAGGCAGGTGGCTTGCAGAGAAGTTGCGGTAGGTGACTTGGACTACTGGAGTTGACTGGCTTCACCAGTAACCTGTTGTACGTGAGTATGTGACCCTCCCTCTAATCCGGACCAACGGCGGCGTTATCTTCCTTCAGATGACTTTGTCCAAAGTTGATTATTCTCTGGAAAGTTTCAGTTCCTCCAGTAAAACACACAGATTTTGGAACAATTGTGTTAGACACTTGGCATGTTGAGCCACACGGTCCTTGATCTATCAGAGCTAATCATGGTCATGACTAACCTTGCCTGTACTGCTAGCAGTTTTATAGCATGCATATCTCCACTGGTTAACTACTACTGCACAAATGATTTTTAAAGTTGTCTCGTAAATTTTCAGGAGCGATTCATTTGGTAAATTGCCTCTAAGTAGGCTGAGAGTACTATAGCTTACGAATCCCTCTGAAAAATTCTTTTTTAAGGGCGGCTTTGTTAAGTAAGCTACCGCTAGAATATATTCATTTTCATGGAAGCAGACCATCACAAAAAATGCGTTACAAAGCCCAACACTACAATAGAGGACACATTATCACTATTGATGGCACGGTGTCAATTTCAAAACTCTTCTCCTGAAAACCGTTTTTGACTAACCCCAAAAACGGTTTTGGCAGTAGCATTTTTGGCCACCAGCTGGCCCCTCCCCTCTGCTAGTGGCAATATCCCTCTCAATAGCTTAAATTGTGAGATTCAAGAGCTAAAAACTCCTTGTTTCAAAAAAAGAGCTAAAAGCTCCTACTCAAATATAGAAGACAAGCAAAGATTTTGTAGATATGCTCCACTTTCACCTATATATAGTCCGCATATTTTTCCCCACAAAGGCCAAAAACAATGTTTTCATTTATGAAGCTTCTTCAGTTCTTCTAATGCTTTATAAATAGTTGCTAGTCCGTTGTTTGTGTATTGTAGACCAACTACTATTTTAACTGGTTTTGTGATGGAAAAGGAAGTTGCAGCATGGGCCTTCTGCTATGGCGAAGATGAAGTAATGGAGAAGGGATTACTCCCTCTGTCCCTAAATAAATATATTTCTGGAGTTGTCTTAAGTCAAACTTTTAAAACTTTGACCGAATTTGTAGAAAAAATATCAAGGTTTATGATATCAAACTAGTATCATTAGATATACCATAGAATATATTTTTATAATCTGCTTATTTTATGTCATAGATGTTGTTATTCTTTTCTATAAAGTTAGTCAAACTTAAAAAAGTTTGACTGGCACGGATTCTATGAATTGATTTATTAGTAAGCGCAGTTGCTGGGCAGGCTTTCAAACAAGTTTCATAGATGGTGATGGCTATTGAATTGGCTCCGTGTCACTAAGGTTGAGAAGTCAGAAGATGTACCATTCAAAGCATGCAGGTCTTATTTTCTGATAAATTCAGCTGGCAGGTTGGTTACATGCAAACAAGTGGTAGGTGGCTTGAACTACTGGAGTGTACTCAGAAAGGTTTCTATTCCTCCATAAAACACACGGTGATTTTCGATCATCTAGGAAAGACTCTTAGCTCCTCCACTGGAGATTGTTCCTTCTCTTATCTCCACCTACTGTGTGATCTTCGTGATAAGAGCAAGGAGTCCTAAAATGGACATGATAATTTCTGCAGTACTTGGTGAGGCGATCTCTAGATCCATAAGTTTTGTCATCAGCAAAAGCTCCAAGCAGAAGGTGCCGGATGATGTTCACAACAGCCTGCAAAGGGTTCTCCTTAGGGCACAGGTCATCATCGATGAGGCCACGGGATGCCACATCACAAACCAAGGTATGTTGCAGCAGCTGGGCATGCTGAGAGATGCCATGTACCAAGGCAATTACATACTTTACACTTCCATATACCAATCTCATGACGTGGAGGATGGCAAGGATTCTGTTGTGAGTCAATCTTTGTCTTTGTGCAAAGTAAATTCTCTCAGACGAATATCTTCCAGTAGAAAGAAAGAGATTTTGGAACAATTGCAACATGCTGTTAATAATTTGAGCTCTATGATAATTGATCTAAAAGAGCTGGTTGTGTTCTTGACGAGCTACCCTCGGATGTACCGCCAGCCTTATAGCATGCATCTACTGCTCAGTAACTGCATGTTTGGCCGCCAGATGGAAGCACATCATGTTATTAGCTTCCTGTTGGATACACAGCCTCGTGGTTTTGAAGAATTGGAAGTCCTGCCAATTGTTGGTCCATATGAAGTTGGAAAGAGCACCCTTGTCTCTCATATTTGAAAGGATCCGTGATCATTTCTCTGAAATTTTTTTATTGAGCGGACATGAGTTTACAAATTTTGACCACGCTAAGCTGAGTGAAGGATGTGCAGCAGAACATCAAAATCGTGTGTTGAACTCAAACAAAGATAGGAAGTTACTTTTTGTTGTTGAATTAGTTGGTGGTCTTAACGAAGATGCTTGGAATAAATGGTGTTGTTCTTATAAACAACACATACCAAGGGGTAGTAAAATCATAGTCACAAGCCGATCAGACAAGATCGTCAAGTTTGGAACAGCACCACCTCTATATTTGAAGCATCTGTCCCCTGAAGCGTACTGGTATTTCTTTAAGACACTTACGTTTGGAAGCATGGATCCTGAAACACACCCAAGGTTTGCCTGACTTGCTATGGAGATGGCTAGGCTCCTAAGTGGAACCTTCATTGGTGCAAACATGAATGCTTGTTTGCTGAGGGACAACTTTGACATCCATTTTTGGCACAAGGTTGTAGCCTTCTACAGAGTGGTCACCTTGAAGAATGTCTCAGAATTTGGTGTTCGTCCATTCAATCTTATACAACAGAACAGGCCTATAATTTTTTGGAGGATGGCCACACCGTCTGAAGAGCTTGTGATTTATGGTCAATTTGAACGCTCTGCAGAGGAGGAGGTTCCAAAGTTAAGTTTCCGAGATGTGTTTTATGGAAACGTTAATCCTCGTGGGAAATTTGAGATCCTATTGTGGAGGTCTCGGATTCCGCCTTACTATAGCTATTTTAGCTCTTCTGAGATCCGAGAGGTAAAAACTGCAGCTGCCAAGAGGAAGCGTTCTGTGAAAAATGGATTAATGCTTTGTTAATTATTCTGTCTTTGGGCTCATGTGGCAAAATATCTGAGTATATGTTTTCATTGGTTGTCACAAGTTGCGGCATAGTCATGCATTATATAGGATGTAACAGGTTGCAACGTTATGAAACAGTACTAGTATTTATTACTACCTTGTCATGTGTAAGTGTAACCTGTTTTTTCCTTCAACACATTATAGGTGAGCTTTATGTCATTTCATTAAATAAGACATGTAAAGTGCTAATGTTGTAAAGAATAACTCATGTTATTTTGGCATACATTTTTGTGTAACTAGAAGATACCCTGTACGTTGCTACGGAAGTTGTAAAGAATTTAAAATGAAATTAATAAAAATACCTCGTTTTTTCTCGACCTTGAACCCTAGACATATATATATGCCGGTGTTCTCCTCGACGCGTCCCATCGTGAGCTGCCACTCCTAACTCAATGCATCCACCGCCGAAGTTCGCCATAGCTAGGGTTCTGGCGAACTCTCCGGCGAACTTTTCCGGCCAAACCTGGGTGTTCCGGTGAATTCCACCACAACCACGAGGTAGCCCTTTTCGTTCTCTACGTCGTGGTATACTTGTTTTCTCGAATCCGTGTCCGTTTGATGGTTTCCCTAACCTTTCTTCCTCTATTCCGATGAGGAGCTCCATGAATAGGTCGTCTTCCTTCGTTCTCCAGCAACTTAGGGCATGGCCGTTCCCACCACCGGGCTGCGCCCCTGGGTCGAGCGCCCCACGCCGCCGCCTTGGGCTCACGCCCCCGCGCCTTGCAGGGCCTTCGCGCCTACTCGAACGAGCAGGCTGGCCGCCGCCGCTACCTATGGCCGCTCGGCCACTAGCCGCGCAGCGCCTGCTGCGGGCCCTGCCCCGGCTCCGCGCCATCCCGGCATGGCACCGCCGGCCGTCCCTAGGCCCCGGTCCGAGCCCCCTTCTCCCCCATGGTGCGCAGTGCAGCAACCTCCCATGGCTGCCATGGCCACGTTCTTATTTATGGTTTTGCTATCGATCGTACCCTGTTCGCTTGAACTACTTCAATAGTACTTTTCAGCGAATGAACAATGTTTTACTCTCACAACAAATCAGCATAAGCACTAGCTAAGACAAATTTTAGCGAAACGAACAGGGCCAACCATAAGCTATGTGTTAGCAACGAGCCAACGATCTTTACTATGTTATGTGTTTATGAAATTAATACTATTAATTTGAATAATGTTTTATTCATTTCCTTTTTAATTTATAAAAGGAAGTTAGGTTTATACATCAATCTTTCATAAATTAATTATAATATGATTAATATCGACCTTAATGCCTTTTCAATAATGACCTGCTTAGATCAACCTCGAATACATGAAATAATTCGATTAGTGCCTCTCACATGTTTTATGTATTCAAAACTATAAATGTTTAAATGACTTAAATGATATGTAATCATTTATAATTAAAATATGACTAAGGTTTAATTCCGTCTTTTCTAATTAAACTATAATTTGACTTCATTGAACTTTAGGATGTTTCTTTGAAATGTCCATCACCTCATTTCATTAACTAAAATGAATCAAGCTTATAGTTTGTCTTCCTCAATTATGTTGCAAACACCTCGATAGATGTGTCCTCCTTAACGATAGCTCCGTTCTCAGTCGTTCTTGTGTTCTCGTGACCGTAGCAACAAGTCATGCCATTTAGTGCGCTCTCTTTTCAAGCTTTTCCCTTTTGAGTGATGTGTTGTTCTTAGTCGTGTTTGCTTGTTGTCTGTTTGTTCTCCTTGGTTGCTGCGAGTAGAAGAAGAGCGGTTTGTTAGCGTTGAAGACCAGGAGCTGAGGACCGACAGGTGAAGTAGAAGCTGGAGACTAAAGACTTTTGAGCAGCTAAGCTTTGGGAAAAAGGCAAGTGCAGGCTCCCTTTGACCATATTGTTTACCTAATAACTTTATTTACATTTACTTTTCATGCATGTGTCTAATATTGTGAATCCTAAGGATTTGCCTAGTCTCATTTATCAATTCCTTGCACCCTAGGGTTTACAAATGGGTAGAATTGCTTAGTTGCTCCAACCCGCACAGGGCACTTGCTACATGATAATGATGTGATACTGGTTAATTGCTTATGCAACTAAGTATGAATGGTGATACTGGTTATTTGGCTTATGCAACTGAGGATGATGATATGATGTTGGCTTTGAGGCCACATGGTTTTGAGCTAAGGGGGAATGAGTACTGGGCCTTCTTTTCTATGGTACTCGTGTCCGCCTTCCCTAAGGACCGGATCGTGGAGCGGCCACCTGGGACTTACCGTACAACTTCAAGCTATATGGCTCTAGCTTGACAAATTAGCATGACCTCTACTAGTAGGGTGCAACTTACTGGGTAGGCGTAAGGAAGTAACCTAGGCAATAAGATTAAGATACAGTTGTCCGGGTCTCATGGCTATGGGGACGGCTGTCGTGCGCCTAGGCAAAACCTTGCGGGTTGCATTCTATTAGTTAGAACCTATGAACAGTCTCGTAGTGAAACCCTGCCTGCTCACCTTAGGAGTGTTTTGGGGAGTAGTGTAACACCCAATTTTTAGAACAAAACGAGATACACACCATATGTGAGCCCAGGAAGTCAAATCTTACATATAGCTACAAATAAGGGTAATATCAATAGACAATGCTCAATATATAACGTGCTAGTATAAAGAATATAACCTTAGACAACAAATAGTGGAAAGACAACTCCGATCTTTGGGTGAAGACTCCAGTTCCACAGGGACAACTGACTGGTTGATCACAAGCCTAACTTCTTCAAACTCTAGCAATCTAGTACCCATCCGGGATTTTTATCCAAATAATTGAAAAATAAAACAAGCGTAAGTACATGTCGTACTCAACAAATATATCATGGGGTTCATGAGGCTCAAAAGTCTAACACTGGTTTAACTGCGATTATCTTTTAATGAGTCATCTTTTAACAATTCGGTGACAACAAGTTTATTCACAGGCCCATATAAACACATGATCAGTTAAACATGAATAATGAACATCATAAACAATAATCATTAGTGAGCATCTTTATCATCAGTATCATCTTTGAGTGGATTCCAATTAACTCTCTAACTTTCTTGGTACCTTTTCTCCCTAATAACATATCCACGTAGAGAACTCACTTGTCCGGCTTGATGTCACATTGATGTTTTCTGAGCCTACGTAGAACCAATTATAGATGTCCAATATCTCCTTCCAATGGTGTTTGTTCCTCTACATTGACATATGAAAACTCACAATCCACTTTACTATCCTCACAGGACACACTTTCCAGTAGGTCATTCTCATATTCCTCAGGTGTAGGTTGAATACCCTCATACTAAATTCTTTCTCCTGATGGTGTTGTTTGAAGCACCGAACGTTCGGCATACTTAATCACTCCTTTACAAGCAGATAACCATCCCTTTTCAAGGATAACATCAATATCTATTAACTCCAAAACTATAAGGTTTGCCTCGAAGATTACCCCCTCTATGTCAAGACTAACATTTGGGCATATGCGGTCTGCCTTCATTGCTCTTCCTGGAGACCTAACTATCACTAGTTTCCTCATCGGAAGCATAGTTACCTTAGGATCTTCCACATATTCCCTAGAGATGAATGAATGTGAAGCACTAGGGTCAAACAACACCATAGAAGTGGCTGAGCTTACTACAATCAAACCATAAACAACATCCTGAGTGGTAATCATATCTACATTGTTCAGACTTATAGGGATGTACTTTTGCTTTAATTTATTTTCTTGCACCTGCTTCTTATGGACATTCTGTTCTAGCTCTCGTTGTTGTTGAGGCTTTGATTGTTCTCAACAAACTTCTCAAGACAATCGTTCTCATAATGTTCAATCTCACCACAATCATAAGCTTCCTCACTAGTAAAAGTATTTGTCTTCATCAAGGTGATAGTAGGAGGTGACAGACATAGCTCTTGAGAGCTAAAAAGCTGCACTTCATCATTGGGTTGCTGATACTGATCTTGATCATTACTTCCAAGCAGATTCATCAGGTGTGACTGACATTCTGGTTGCGTAGCAAAATAGAGACGAGTGTTTCTTAACTGGCATTGAAGGTCATGTTTTCTCTTCTTCTCTAACATCTCTCGACGCTTGTTCTCAATTACAATTGTCCACCAACGTCTGATAGTCGGCATACACCATGGTCCTCAGCTGTAGTTGCAAATTATCATTCAGTCCTTTCAAAAAACGTTTTTGCTTCTTAGCATCACTATCCACCTCTCTTGGAGCATAACGTGACAATTGAGTGAACCGGTTACGATACTCACACACTGACATTGATCCTTGCTTCAAGTTAACGAACTCTTCTTGCTTAAGTTCTACCTCACCTAACGGAATATGGTAGGACCTGAAGCTCTCGCTAAACTCCTTCCAGGTGATCTGTCCAGCATTGTTGGGACGTCCATACTGGTAGGACTCCCACCAGTCTTGTGCTACGCCCTGGAGTTGGCTAGACGCAAAAAGCACATTCTCTTGGTCATCACACTGAGCTATGTCCAATTGTCGCTCCACAGCTCTAAGCCAGTCATCGGCTTCTAGTGGTTCGCTTGTATGAGAGAATGTCGGTGGTTGTCCCTTCATAAATTCACCACGCTTGTTAATAGGTGGCGCTTGATGTGGGTCGTTCAACACACTTTGAGAAATAGTCTGTAATAACTGAGTCTGCATCATCAAAGCTTGCTCTATAGATAGGGAATTGGATGGTGGTAGATTACAATTGGTAGGATTCCTTCCCAGTGAGAGCTAGAATCTATAAAACCACCTTCACTTTGACTACCCCCTAAGAAAAAGATCAACAAGGGGACACAAAAAGGGTAGCTTGCACCTTCTTCTAGATGAGCTAACTAGTATCAAGACGTTCTGACATCCCAATGATACTCTCGTGTATGGGCAAGAACAAGAAATCTAAAATTCCTCGCGAGCAGAGAAACATTAGTGTAGTAAAACAGCTATAACTCCTATTCTGGTAAT